AAGGAAGGAAGGAAGGAAGGAAGGAAGGAAGGAAGGAAGGAAGGAAGGAAAAAGGAGGAGCCAATAAAATAAATTTTTAAAAAGCGGTCTTTACAAACAGCACAAAACAACACAGTAGTAGTGCTTTCTAAATATATTGGAAATTATAATAAACATTAATGGACTAAACTTGATTAATAAAGATTATCTAGATTTTTTAAGGAAATCAAATCCCTCTATCCTTCATAACCACTTCAGCATGTCATAGCAGTGCTCTGCCAACAGCAGTGTACTTGAGTAGACTAATTGTCCCGCACAGTTGTGAAAACGTAATGCTGAAGTAAAACTTATACAAATGTGGTTCTGATCATTTTTCTTTGTTCTTACACTTAGCTGTTATTGGACCTCCTCTAGTGCACATAAAAGCACTTGCTAATTCTCTACAGATGCGTTTCTTAGCCCCTCAAATTGAGAACGAACCCCATACATGGACCATGAAGAAGATTTATGACTCATGGGCTTATCATGTGCAATACTGGAAAAATGGCACTAATAAAAAGGTAAGCCTTCCTAATTCTATGCATTGTTTTTTCAGTTTTGGTGTGAGACCGTAATGACAGAGGAGACAGGAGTCTACCCAGGCACAGGTACAAGGGTGACAGCGCTCATGAGCCAGCAGGGTCAAAGTCCTGAAAGTCACAAGCTTCCCAAGTTGGGGGATAACTGGTATTTGGGGCTCAACTTTCCCAGACCCCCAACAGATGTACATAAAGCAGACTTTCAGGGTGAATTCTACACAATTCTACAGCAGATGTTTTTCCTTGAAGGGAAGTTGCAGGAGAAGCAGAACTGAGTCAGGACCTGGGTGGGGTAGTTGGGGCCAGCTGAATCAGGGGATTATTGTGCATAGAAACTCTCATGCCCTGTGCATACCACAAATCAGTGCCCTGAGTCCATAACCCCCCACCTCAGGATGCTGTTTAAACCGTATCACATTTTACCTTTCTTACCTATTTTCCCTGTTGCTCTCTTCTTTGCAGGAATAGTTCCTTTCAAAACATAGGCTAGAGCTAGAAGACCTGATGGGAGTATTGCCTCTGCCACTATGGGTCTCTGATCACAGTCTTGATGTCAGTTTTCCCAGGTCTACAAAAATGGGCCTAATGGGCTGGGGAGATGGCTCAGTAGAATAAGTGCTTCCCTGGCAAGTGCAAGGGTCTGAGTTCAATCCCCAGTTCCACCAAAAAAAAAAATAAATAAATAAATAAATAAAATAAAAAATTGGCCTAATGACCCATTTCACCAATAAAACAGGGATTAGAATACTCCCACTTCAAAGGATTGCTGGGGAACCTGATATCAAAATGAAACACATAAGCTTGTGCCGTTGCCTGGAATAATATGTATGGTCAGACTGAAGTTCCCTCCCTTCATGAGGAGCCAAGGCCCTTTTCATACAGCCAGGGCCAAAATTAGTGGTTAGAGCTGTTTGCTATTCATGGTCCTAAACTGACTTACCCAGCTGTTACGTAAGGTATATTTATCAGTTAATTCGCAAGAGTTTGGAAGGGAGAGAAACTTACGCACATATGCTACCTAACTAAAAAAAAATCAAGTTAATTTTCCAAAAACAAAAACTCTCCACTGAATGACACATGTCTTAGTCTGTTTCTGCTATGACAGTAAAATACCACAGGCTGGGTAATTTATGAACAACAGACAATGTTTCTCCCAATTCTGGAGACTGGGAAGTTCAAGACCAGGGCACCTGCAGCCCCAGAGTCCAGTGAGAGCTGGCTCTCGGCTTCCCAGCTGATGCCTTCTGCCATGTCCTTAGATGAAGGTGAAGGGCAAACGGGGTGACTAGCTTCCTCTTTCTTTCTTATAAGGTCTCCAGCCCCATTCTTAAGGGCCCTTGCCCATGACCTTCAAAAGACCCCACCTTTAATCACAGTAATTAAATTTCAGTGTAGGAATTTGAGCAGGACACACATTCAAACCATGGCATGCAGGAAATTTGCCTTCCTCACAAAACAGGCATTTTTTCCTGCAAGATTGCAGGAAATGTATGCCTGGAAACCAATATAGAATATTTAGTTTCATAATTACTTAGTAGGTGCAAGTGCTGCTGTTCAGCCTTGGAATAAAGATAAGACCTATTGATTCGCTTCCAGGGTTACCAGCATGTTCTAAATAAGGATCTGGTTTCCTAGCCACCATGGTTGAGTGCCTCCTCTACAAGTGTGAAATGCAAACCCCATTTCATGTTTAGCTTCTTATCTAGCACATGTCCATAGCATGGGCATCTGGTTACACATTTGTCCTCTTGCTTTGCCAGGTTGCATGGAAACCTTCAGTGTGTAGGGGGAAGGACAGGGCCAAGGGAGTGAAGAAGGAGGTGATTATATGTGTATGTTATATGCATGTACATCCCTTCCAGAATGAAACACATTCGTCTGTGTAAGCAGTGTGTGCTAATAAAAAATATGAGGTGAGAAAGAAAAGAAACCTTTAGTATGATGTACGGACCCAGAAAAGGCGTCTGCTGCTTCGTTCCTCCCTGAAAGGAACCTGCCGTGTCACCATTACCAGTTTATATGGTTCCCTTGTATAAGCTGGTATTTAAATATCTTGGAGACAGTGCCAGGTTAATTCACTAGACTAACAGCAGGAAGAGTTTGTGCAAATTCCATTTCTTTTCTCATAGAAGAAAGTGAGATGATTAATCTAGAGGTAAAAGGACAGAAAAAGCCTCACAGGGGACTTGGGGTGGTCTTTTCACATCCTTGCTGCCATGTTGCCTAATGGCCACTTAGAAGTCAACTTCTGGAGCTTGGTCTTTGAAAATTTGCATTATAAAGTTTCAGGGACATTGAGCTTTTAGAAGTAAAGACCAGTTTTTGCTTCCGTTTGGTTTGTCTGTTTGCTTTCTAATTAATCATTATTCCATTAAAGTTATGCCAGGAATGGTGGCACATGCCTTTAAATCTTGCACTTGGGAGCCTAAGGCAGGAGAATTACCATGAGATCAAGACCAGCCTGGGATACACAGTGAGTTCAAGGCCAGCTGAACGACATAGCAAAACCCTGACTCTAAAACAAGAACAGCAAAGTTAAAAAGTTATTCCAGGGCCAGCCAGATAGCTCAGCAGACTAAAGTGCCTACTTAGGTAGACACAGGGACCGGGGTTTGATACCCAGCATGCTATCCTGGCCCCACTCCTGGGGTACACTGAGACAGTGATTGAGACTGGGTATGGTGGCACCAACCTTTAATATCACTGCTTGGAAGGCTGAAAACAGGAGAATCACTATGAGTCTGATCTGTGTAGTGAGACCCTGTAGACCCTGTACTAAATACAAAAAACAGTTATTCCATCTATGTCAGGTATTGTTAGGAATAATTCAGTTCTTGCCCTCAATGAGCTTAGTTTCTCACACAATAAAAATATATTGACAAGCTGTCAACAGCCAAGACCCCAAAAGAAATATAACCAGTCACTGAAGTGAAAGAAAAGCAAATGTCTGTTCTTACTTGGTGTACTCTTTAGTTTCGTTTATTTGCCAGGAACTGTTTTGGGTTCTCAAATTCAGAAATACATCACTAATTATGAAATCCCACATCCAGGTATAGCTGAGATGAGGCATAACTGCAGCCACCAGAGCAGAGTCTGTGGTCTGTCCTTTCAAGTAAGCCAGGGCTCAGGAGGGGGTGAGCCAGGCACATATGTGGAAGACCCTAGATAGCCAGGATCAGAAACATGCTCTTGGAGAAAAACAAATTGCATTGAGTTTTACTATTTAGGATCAATATACTAGTATTTACTGCAACACAGTGCCACAGACCCAGTAGCTAAGGCAACAGAAATTTATTGTCTACAAATTCTAGAAGCTTCAAGTTCAAGATCAAGGTGTCTGCAGGGTCATGCTGCATTGATGTCGAAGGGCTTTTGTTCTGTGCCACTGCCCTAGCTGCTGCAGGTTTGCTCAGAATCCTCTGTACTCCTTGGTTTATAAAAGCATCACCTGATTTCTGCCTGCGTCTTCCTGTGTTCCTGCCTCCAGATCGCGCCTCTTTACAAAGACTCCAGTCGTGTTGGATTAGGGAACTGCCTTCATTACCATTTAACTCAGTTACAGCTGCAAAAGCTCTAATTCCAAATCAGATCACACCCCGGGCACCACAGGTTGACACCAGCAATGAAACTTGATGGGACATAGTTCACCCTGTAAATGTGGATTCCTCTTTTAAAAAAGGAAATGGGATGGTTTAAGCCACAGAATCAGGGCAGTGAGATGTTTTGTATATCACAGGCTGTCCGGGTCCTCAGAATGAGCTGGGAGGAGCACGTGCATTTGCTTTTACCTGTTTTAAGCCTAAAGCAGAGTTCATAACTGTTAAATGTGAGAAAAGAAAAAAGATGAGGAAAAAGTGCTGTCCCTTCTCTGCTGAGGCATGGTCTTATTTTCTCATTACCAGTTTGAGGTCACTGTTCAGTATGACTTTGAAGTCTTCAGGAACCTGGACCCATGGACAACCTACTGCATTCGAGCTCGAGGGTTTCTTCCTGATCGGAACAAAACTGGGCGGTGGAGTGAGCCTGTGTGTGAACAGACAACCGAGGATGGTGAGTCGTGAGAGGCCCAGCCTGTAAGGCTGCGGTCTGAGCTCTGCAGTAGGCTGTGGGCCCCACCCCTGGGCCACAGGCATCACCCCACACAGTTCAGACTCCAGTTAGGTTTAGAAATGGGAACCACCTCCTCTGCATGGTCCCCAGCCCTGATTGGCCAGAGAGGAGGAGACCTGCCCCTCCTGCTGAGGTGGCTCATTCACTCACACCAAGGTGACTGATGGGACCGTTGTCCACCTGGGAAGCCTTGTTGAGCTTGGGTTTTTTTTTTTTTTTTTGTCAAACATCTTGAAGTCTTTAGTACACAAAGTGTTTACCATTCTCTGTACCAACTCCTGGGCCTCTATTTCTTTTGGGTTCAAGGGCCAGGGAGTCTGCTTGCTGCTTCAAGGCAGAGGAGGTATTCTACAGCAAGTAGCCCAGTGCCACTGTGCAAGCAGGTTAAATGGATCAGAACTCTTGCCTAAAACCTTGTTAGGTATATGAGCAGCAGTGCTAGAAATCAACTTTAAAGAAGGCAGGAAGCGGTCAAACTCACTAAGAACCCTTGGATTCTCCAAAGAGCCTCTGTGTTTCTGGGATGCTGTCCAGGACAAATGTATGGACTCTATTTTCAGGGACTGGGTAAGATGGTCTTCAGATCACTGTAGCCCAACCTGTGCATGCTATTAACTTTAACCGATGCCTGATCCTTGCAGAAACAACCCCCTCCTGGCTGGTAGCCATCATCCTCATAGCCTCAGTCTTTGTGGCCTTTCTTGTGCTTCTGGGATGCTTTGCCTTGCTGTGGTATGTCTACAAGAAGACCAAGTACACCTTCTCACCTGGGAATTCGCTTCCTCAGCACCTCAAAGAGGTAAGTAGGGTGGAGCAAGATGTCATTTTGAAAACCCCAGTTGGAAAGAGTTGGCCTATAAAGTCAGGGCAATGTAATTCCAGACAACATGTTTTCTGGGAGAATCACATATCTCTTGTGCACTGACCCATTCCCATGTGCCCAGTGGGGAGGCCGGAGGCTAAGCGTTGTTCCAGAAGCCGTCTGTGGACCTGCACATGTCTCCTCTCTGCCTTCACTGCCCAAAGCCCAAGCCCTCAGGGAGCAAAAGTGATGGTTCTGGGGCTGGGGAGGAAAGAGAAGAGGTCACATAAGGAAGGCAAGAAAGAGAAAGCTCTGGCTAAGTGCCAGCAAAACTCCAGAGGGAGAGAGTGGGAGGAGGAAGAGCTTTGTTCAGATTTGGAATACCAGGCAGTGTAACTAGACTTTAGGGAAGCTATTTTTCAAAAGATTTAGGAGAAAGAGAATGCCTCTTGCTAAAGAAAGACCGGAGGACTCTAAGAGATGAAATTCTGTATATACAGCCCACCCTTGGCATCAGCAGGTTCTATATCTGCATTCAACCAACTGTAGATGAAATATTCTTTAATGGCATTTATTCTGAACATGCACAAAGCTTTTTAACTTATCATTATTCCCTGTATGATACAACATAAAAATGATTTGTACCATTTAGATTGTAGCACAGATACTTTAAATATGATTGAAAATATACAGTAAGATGTGCATAGGTTATATGCTTATATAATACACTGGCTTATATAAGGAATCTATGGATTTTAATAACCATAAGGGATCTTGGGACCCATGGCTGTGCATAATTGAGGGATAACTTAACCTTGTCACTTGAAAATGCATATGCCTAAGTGCCTGCCTGGCAAATGCAAGGTCTTGAGTTTGATCCACAGTACCAAAAGAAAGAAAGAAAAGAGGAGAGGGAGGGAGGGAGGGAGGGAGGGAGGGAGAGAGAGAGAAAGAAGAGGGAAGGGGAGGGGAGAGGGAGAGGGAGAGGAGGAGAGAGAATGATTATGCCAAGCTCAGACCCAAAAGGAGCTATCTTCAGTCTCATTTCCTAGGAAATTAGCTCTGAAATAGAGATTGACACTCCAGTTGGAGAATTTCCTTGGGAATAATTCCTCTAAAGGAGTGAAGGTGGCAAGATGGGATAGGGAGAGAGAGAGGTTGAGCTGGTCATAACAGAGGCCTCCCCCAGTCCCATAAGCCTTAAAGATGTCCCAGGTTGAGGTAAGAGAACTGAATCTCCTTCCGCCAGGATTGGATGTAGGCATCCCCTAGAGGGGAGCTGCAGCTGGCGGAGGTGCAGGCCAGGAGCAGCCAGTATCCCAACCGATGAGGAGAGCAAGAGACTCATTTCTGAACACAGACCTGCACGACACAGCACAGCACTCGCAATAGTCCACCTCCTAAAATCCTCAGATACACTGCACACAGCTCCTCCAGGACTGGAGGTGATCTCTTTTCCTGGGGAAGGTTACAAGAGGAAGTTCAGTTTAAAAATAAATTATATAGATATAGATATAGATATATGTCGATCGCACCCCCATTACAGCTGGTCTTGAGCCACAGGTAGCATTTGTAGTCTCCCCTGCTAGCCTTTCAGGCATTCCCTCTTTCCTCTCTAGTAACTGGCCCCTCCTAGCATAGGCTGCTGACCTGATGTGCTTGGTACCTCAGGTCCTCATCCATTGAGAACTGAGCTGTGGTCACCAGGCCCTTTTTAGGCATGGCTCCTCTGCTTGTCTGTTTACATCAGAAGAGAGCAAGGGAGAACCACAGGATGCCTGAGAGATTCGGTACAGTGCCTGCTGTGCTGTAGCAGCAGCCTTCGCCACTCCCTCTGACACATGTGCTGACTCCTTCCTGTGCCTACAGGTCTCTTAACCTGAGGAATGGCAACACAGCTTAATGTTTTATTGGTCTCATGCAGTGTTCATTAGTAAATTGTTCCTACTTTAGATCTGTATACCTTTTTTAAAAAGATAAGTTAGAAAATATTTTAGGTCTTGTAAACCAAGAAATAAAATCAAAGTTACATAGGTACTTGGTCATTAAACCCTGCCATGATTCCATAGGGAGCCTGATCTTGAATTACTTCTCCTTATATACAAAGGGGTTGAACAAATGTACAGTCCCAAGCTCTGCCTGATGGACAGCTTCATTCTGCTTGTGCCTATCCTGCAGCAGTAGACATTTCTGGTTTGTACTAAATGCCATGCTGGAAGGTTGGTCTTCCAGAAAAAGAGGACCTTCTGCCCTATATGGTCATACTGTGAGCAGAGGCACAACAGTTGCAGGGGAACAGACAGCATAGAAGCCTGAGTTACCTAAGTGGGTGGCTGGCCTGTCCCCTACACCCTGTCTTAGGAACTGATGGGTTCACATGGCCCATGATGATGCAACTTCTATAACAGAGAGGTTTTCTAAAGAAAAATGATTTTTTTTCCAGCAATGAGCATTTGCAAATCCAAGGTACATGTGTCATGATGAGCCATGACAGGTCTTAGATGTACTCAAGGAGACAAAGCAAAACAGGTTTTGAAAGGTAAAATAAGTAAAGTCTTATAGGTTGTTTTGAAATAGTCATCTTGGCCATAAGGACCAATAACAACCCTGAGGTATGTCCACAGTTGCATAGGCAGATGTTGGGCATTTGTGGTAAAGGTGGCCTTTGTGCAAGAACGTGATATGGTCAGATCTTTTGCAATAATTCTTCCTATGATCAGGCAAATTGTACCTGAGGACTTGCCCTTCATGACCTGTCAGCTACATTTAGTTTGATTTTGATGTGACTACATTTTGGTCTCTGCAGGGACCCATTAAGATCACCTAGTACTCCAGTGCCCCTAGGCTCTGTCCCTGCTGGTTCTCCGAACCCCTCCAGGAGCAGTTGTTCAGACAGGGTGTACTGATGTACTGAAGATGGCCCAGCCTGGTCCAGAACTCTAGGGTCTGCATGGTGATTCTCCTCTGGGGTTTGGTCACGAACTCTACCCAGAGTCTTTCTCACCATAAGCTGCAAAGATCTGCTGAAGCCTGCATACATCAGGTTCCATTAGCACACCATCAATAGTAGATAACTTACCTGGCTGCAGGCGTGGATAGGACTGCCAGCCCTGTGGCTCATACCTGCTACAGGGCCCTTGCCTGCTCTGTGCCCCCCTCAAAACTACTAGTCAGTGAAGAAGGACTGTCCTGTGCTCTCTTTCTGTGGCATTGTCACCTGTAAAGGGACCCAGCTGTGGCTGTCTCAGCTGTCCACTGGAAGGTGAAATCAGGTGACACCACACTTGTCCTGGGGAGCTGGGCAATGCAGGATAGCACCCACTGTGGGTAGAAAGTGGTGCTTGTGCTTCACTTCAGGTGTTTCAGAGCAGCCAGAACCTTCTATAAGAAGCACATTTGAGCCCTAAAATACCAGAAAGAGCTGGCAGCACTCTAGGCTGAACTATTGCAAAGCCACAGCTGGAGCAAGCAGAACAAAGAGGCAGACCCTTTGCTGTGGGCAGAAGGTCTTTTGTTAACTGAGAACCAGGAAAAAAAAAATAAACCATTCACCTATTTTTGCTGCTTGGCTTCACCATCAAAGAAACTGGTCAGATGGGAAAGAACAGATAGCAAATCAAAGCCAAGATAATTTTTTCATTCTTCAAGGGCCTGTTGGAAAGAACTCTTTCTCCCCAGACTCATTGGCTGTGTAATAATTTGAGAGCTAAGAAGGTTCCAGGCCCTGGAGAAGGGCCAGACTATCAGGGTGAAGAAAACTATAGTGCGTTTCAGAGTTGTCGCCAAAATCTCCAGTTCGGCTCATTGAGTACAGAATAGGTTAACCATGATCCAGACAGTTGTTTTGAATTTAGGGAGATTTGCTGGAGTGGAACACTACCCAACACCACCAAGTGAAAGAGGGAGATTTATTCCGGCTCACATTTTTAGTCCAGAACCCACCAGCTTAGGGCAAGGTGGTGTGGCAGAAGGGTGTAAAGGAGGAGAGCTGCTCACAGCATGGCAGACAGGAAGCGGAGAGTGAAGAGCCGGGGAGCGAGGTGAACCCCAGGGATCTACCTTCCCCCCATCCACCTTTCCCCCTAGACGCAACCTCTGACAGTGAGCCCGCCATAGGCCCCTTTATTCTAATCACCTTCTGAAAGTCCTAGCTATGAGGCTATAGGGGGCCAACTAGATATAAACCATAACCAGCTGGCAGCCTGTTTCTCTGTGTGTCCAGCCTGGAATCTCAGCCTGAGACTTTCCTTTTTGCGGTTTAGTGCATTTTCTCTTGTTTTCTGCTCCTTGCTCTTTCCCAGGGAAACCAAGTGGTACTGTCTAGCCCAGCCTCATGAACCCACAGGACCTAAGGGTTTAGACAGCTCCCTTTTACTCTCAAGTTCCTCCCTGGTGCAGCTGGGATCTGGATATAATGCCCCTGGTGTCCCCACTCCCTTCCATGAGCTTCTTATGGCCAGGAGACAAGCCATGACAAGAGAGTGTCCTTCAGATGTCCAGAGGCAGCGCCGTCTCCTGGGAATGTAGCATGAGCCACATATAAAGACACATATATAGAAAAGTAAAAAGACACAGGTGAAATGAATACTAATAATGTATTTTATGTACTAAATATGTCTACAGAACAGCATTTCAACATCAAGCAATATATTTTTTAAGTTATTGAGATAGTCTATGTTCTTTTTCACACATGATCTTCAACATTTGGTGTATATTTCACACTCAGAATACACATTGACTAGGGAGACAGCTCAGTAGCACAGGTGCCTGCCTGGCAAGCACAAGGTCCTGAGTTCAATCCCTAGTACTAAAAAAAACCACATTGATTCAATGCATTCGATTAAGTGCATGATAGATAGCCACATTTGGTACTTGGCTCCCATACCTTAGCACAGGGCTAAGTCAGGGGACACACAGGAGGCTGAGATGCTGAAGAACCTCATAATCAAGCCTGAAGATGCACTGGAGACACTGTTATTCCAAAACATGTTTTTCAAAGACTTGCAGCATTCCTGCTTCTAGGAAGAAATGACAGCCAGGCTGTGTCAGCCCCACAGCTTTGTAATCAGGCGCAAGCCCCTGGTTTCAGTCCCCAGCCCCAACATCCCCAGAGACAGACAGGCAGACGGACAGAAAGACAGACAGACAGCTTGAGACTGGAACTATTCCAGGGTGACCTGTAAGCATGTGCCCAGAGAGTTGTACATCTCACTGTCATATCTTTTTAAGTTGTGATCAAATATACATAGCATAAAATTTACCGGCTTAAATGTTTTTAAGAATGCAATTTGGCTCAGAATAAATCCTGAGGGGATTTCACTGACCTTATCAGACCCAAAAGCTACAACTCTTGTTGCATAGGTCTTGCTTAATCTTGGTCTTAACCATCCAGCAGAAAAGTATAAAAACGAAATATAAGAAGTAAAGCCATGCTGTTATGTTGAGCTGTAGGGGATTCAGGTCCACAATTTCTGACATTGCCAGTGAAGTGGAAGACCCAATACTATTATGGGCTACTGGACTCTTTTAGAATATTTTGCCGAGTTAACACACCTATAATAGTCAAATGACGGAACTAAACAAAAAAGGGGATACAGATGAATGTCCATTTTGCATCTGTGTATTCAAAGTGGTTAGGATAGATATATAGTTACATTCTCTTAATGAAGAGGGATTTGTTCTAATGGTGTTAGTAAATAGGATATCATGTCTGCATCTTGTACAGCAAAAAACCACTAGGAAGAGAG